GAGTTAATGGAAAAACTAACTCTTCCAGTTCTTGTGCAGTGTTCCTCATCCTGCCTACATCCAAATGCACACTGTTTAATTAGCTGAAGATTGCAAATAAACCTCACACTACAGCCTGGCTTTTCACACACTTCCTTTTCTGAAAAAGCCTTGTGAAGCGAATCTGTTCTATCAGTAGGTTTTGGGGGTAAAACAGCAGATCAATTTCAGTGTACTCCTGCTCTCCAATAAATGCCACAACCTAGGATAGATTTAACCCAGAAACTTAAACTAGAGTATGCTTCCTTTACTCAAAAGTGGATTGAAAAAGCAATGATATTGTGTAAACCTTTTACATATACACCTACGAAAAACATCAGCAAAAATGTTCAAACAGACAAACAGCTCTATTAAACCACACGGATGAGGTTCCAGGTAAACTCCATAAGAAAGTCCTTCACCAGCCTGAACCATCAACAAGATTAGCTATTATGTCCTGCCCCATTACTCACTGTACCCAGGATAAAATGTTTTTAATTTGTAGTTGCTCAGCAAACAAGTTGGTATAACAACCAGAAAAAAAATAAAAATTGACATTTGCAATTGACACTGACTCTCCTAATTGACATTTGCGAAATAAAAGTTTTCATTTGGTATGCAGGCAACGTTTAAACTCATGCTTTACTATTGCACAGTAGTGATATGTAGATCAACAGAAGCGATGTCATTAACAGAAATATTAATGAAAAACCTCTTTTCCAAAGTTCCCATTACTTTAAACCGAGCCTACATACCAAGTTTAAACAGAGCCTACATACCAAATAAAAAATTTGTTTTGGTGAAGTCTGTGTAGCATTGTGCTACTCACATCTGACGAGCTGTTATCTGGCTTGTTGTAAAACGAGTTTTATGAAGCAGATTAAATTTGCGGTCTTTTCGGAATCAGGAACAAGCAGGTATGTGAAAATACTGATGAAACCACCACACCGCAAAGCCGTCATATTACTGACCGGCTATAAGTAAACAGTCACTTGACAGTTAAACGTACTGAGAGAAAATAAATACACAGAATGATGTAAGAACAGAACACCTCAAAGTGACTGTTACTTATAGTGGGAGAGTTATACCACGGCTTTGTGCTGGACTTTATTTCTCAATATGACAGACTGAGAAAGAGAACGGGAGTAAGAAAGAAAGTAAGTGTCTGAGAATATGTCAATCTAAGGGTCAATTCACATCATAACCATTTCTGAAACATTTTAGTCAACCAAATAACTCCAAAACGGAAAAACATGACTTCCATCCTTTCCGCCTTTGTATTAGACTACTATTTTTCATTAACACACTTGTCTCCACGGAAATACATTCATATTGATTTTAGAGCGAAACAGAGAGAGTGAACAGAGGTATAAATTTACACAGGGTACTGCAGGGTGAGGATGGGGGTCAAGAGCAAGCTGGGATTCGAGAGGACACGAGCAAGCTGGGATCGATTCAGCCACGATGGAGGGCTGAGTGAGAGGCAGCGTGTCCCTGAAGACAGTTAGATTGAATGTTATCTGCCAGCTGAGGGCACAGCCAGTGGGATTTATTATGGGTTGCTGTGATGAAATCCTGATGTAGTCCTGATGGGCAAATCCTACAGCAGATGGACGTTCACTCACCATGGAGAGCTCTCACTTCAAAAGCAGCCCAATGAACAAAATCTAATGCAGTCACACTGTCTCATTTTGATTGATTTGTTTTTATTGTAATGAGACGTTTCATGGGTGACACTGATCTGAAAGAATTATAACGATCTATCGGCACTCACCTTCCTCTTTTTGAAGGCTTGCCGGGCGAGGTAGCCCCTGCAGGTGGCCTGGAAGAGAGTGATGTTGCGCCTGGTCTGCAGATCCCTCTGTTCCTCCAGCTTAGCCAGAACACCTGCCCTGAAGAACACCTGTACACAGAGCACATCTGTCATTTCCACAGCTCGGAAAACAAACGCTGCCATTTGACTCCCTTGACTACTTTATGTTTATAGTCACTTTCTCTAAAGCATGTCAGCTGCAACAAGAGTCTCTCTCGTTTCACGCATGTTCTATTTGCGTGAAATAAAAAAAATATACTTCAACATAACATGCAAATCAAGAGCACTGATGCATACAGATAGTGGCTGAATAGTGGATGAAAATCTGTTTTCTTTTTTTCGTCGCTTCTGCATGAAAAATATATGTGCAGGGAAGACCTCGAGGTTCTCGTATCAAGGTCTGACTATACTCCATTTCCTTTATAATTGTCCACTCTGTGATGGAAGTGTCAGAGTGAGGTGGATCAACATGAGTGTGGGGAAAAAAAATCAGACATTTTCTGATACAATACACGCAGCAAACCCTGCAGATTCTAACTGCTTTAACATATTGAGCACAGAGCAGAGGTTCAGCGTGTCGGCTGATTAAATTACTACACATCAGTAATGATGGCAGCAAAAGTCTCTTGATTGAGATTTTATCTGCAGTCGTGCCACAGCACAAGTTTTTCACTACAGATCAAAACTAGGCAGCATTTCTGTGCCACGTGTTGCAGCAGCAGCATCCTGTAGATGAGTGGTGGGTTACAGAATAACACCATATGATCTCCCAAGACTTCATAATTCATTTACTAGGACACCCCCTTTACACAACTATTTTTAAATCACATCATCGCAGCACATTTTTAGGACACGCTAGTTAGCTGGAACAGGGCGTGTTGACACCCATGATGAAGAATGCTGATGAAACCAGTGAGCAACACCAAGGGGTGCCATCTGGGTCAGCAAGCAGCTCTGAATCCTTCACCCACTAAGTTGCATGGCTGCTCCAGTACTGACAGCTGAAGGTCGGCATGGTTATCTGAGCAGAACGGCTTTGTCAGATGGGTAATGAAGCTCTTCTCATCATAATTTCAGAAAAAATAACATGAGATGGGGAAA